CGGTGGAGGCGAGGCGTGATGTGGGGGGGGGGGGGGGGGGGGGGAATGAGGCTGCAGCCAGGACAAAAGCCGCTGCCCCTGGGGAGGAACACGGCCCCTGGCCCCGCTCCCAAGCTGCACTCCCCTGCGTGTCTCGTGATCGGAGCCCTGGGCGCTGCACCGCGGGCGTAAGTCACACCTGGGGCCAGTCACCTTGGCAAACAGCTAATGGGCTTCAGCGGTGGGTCACTCGGGGCGAAAGTTCTAGCAGCTGCCTCAGCCGTAGCCGGATCGTACCGGGAGCGAGCCGGCTGGGTGGTACGCGGGGCACCAAGCCGTGCAATGTGGCTAAACGTGGTGTCCCCCTCTAGGGCCAGAGGGCAGGCCCCCATGCCAGGCCGATTCCTAGCCTGGGGGGCAGGGACTTGGAAGAAGAGGTGGGAGCCGGGTGGATAATTGGCCAGTGCCCAGCGTGACGCTAACCCTGGGCTGTGGAATGGGAATCTGTCAGAGCACAGGGGTTAGCCGGGCCCCTGTGGTATAAGGGCCCCAGGCAGCTGTGCGGGTGCCAAGCGTAACCCTGGCTCCTGTTCCTCACCGAAGGTGGGGGGCACGCTATGAAAAGGAGGGGAGCTGGGCAGGGCAGCAGTCCGGCTGGCACTGGGTCCCCTACCCAGGACAGCTGGGACTAACCACGCCTGGCAGAGCTGGAGGCTTCCCACCCCTGAATGCTGCCCAGGACTTCAGGGCCCGCGCTCGCAGGCCCCCCAGTGCGTATGCGCCTTGCAGGGGGCGCCCCCAGGGTGTCCAACCGCCTTCCTGCTCGGCAGCGTTAGGAAGGCCGGCCCCGGCTGGGTTTGCCAGAGGCACCCACAGCTCCAGGCAGCAGAGTTCTGATCCACTCTGAGGGGACGTTCTCTGGCTTGTTGGGGACCCATCAGTGCAATGCAACCAGCTACATCTACACTGGCAGCTTCTTGCACTAGAACAGTTTTGCGGAAGAGTTCTTGTGCATAAAGGCTTCCACGAGCACGTCCGCACGGCCGTGTGCTTTTGCTCGAGCATCCGTGGCAGCGTGGATGCTCTCTCCAGCAAGAAAGCTCCGATGGCCATTTTAGCCAGAGGGGCTTCTTGTGCAAGAAATTCATGGTGCCTGTCTACACTGCCCTCTTGTGAAAGAGCTCTTGTGCAAGAGGGCTTATTCCTCGTGGGGAGAGGGAAGAAGCCGTTTTACAACACTAGGCTGTAGATTACTTGCGCAAGGATGCACGTGCAGCGTAGACAGCAGGCAAGTTTTTACACAAGAACAGCTGTTCTTGCGGAAGCTGCCAGTGTAGACGTAGCCTTTAGTTCTAGGAGTGAGCCCTTTGTAAAAGGCAGGAATTTCCCCCTTTGCTTTCATAGACAAGTGGGAAAGACACCAAGTCTGTTCACAGTGGAAGGAAGATGAACGACATGTGGTGAACCTGCGGTTTCCAAGGGCAAAGAAATCAATGGGTCCAGTTTTCTTGAGGGCCAGAGGAAACACCTGAGCACACAGGTCCAAAGCCGTGTGCGTGGGGGAAGCAGGGTCTGGCTCTACTGCTGTGACTCCTGATCAAGGCGAGGTTTAAACAGGACGCTGGCTTCAGGCCGGAGTGTTAGAGGAGGCTGCAGAGGAAGAGGGAGCGACAGGGTGGAACGGTTTCCTACAGCTGAAGACAAAGGGTTGCCTTGCTCCTGTTGCCCTAAAGCAGGGGTGGGCAATAATTTTTGCAACATTTTGCAAAGTGGTCAAGTAGCTCTTCCATGCTGCTAATGGAGATGTGGGGTTTGGGATGGGGCTGGGTGCAGAAGGGAGCTTGGGGTAAGGGACTGGGAGGCAGGAGGGAGACTGGAGTCTGAGAGGGACTTGGGATGAAGCAAGCGGTTGTGACCCAGGGCAGGGTACTGGAGTGCAGGAGTTTGGGATGTGACCTGGGTAGGAGGGGATTGTGATCTAGGAGGGGGTATGGATGTAAGAAACGGGACAGAGGATTTGGTTATGTTGAGTTGGGGGGGCACAGAGAGTTGGGGGCAGGAAAGGGCTGGGTTGCCAGAAGCAGGTTATGGCCAAGGAACTTATGGGGGGCACAGAGAGTTGGGGCAGGAAAGGGCTGCGTTGCCAGAAGCAGGCTGTGGCCAAGAGACTTGTCAGCTGCCAAACTAGCCTGCCTGCAGAGCTTCCAACGCTTCCCTCCCAACCTGCCTGGCCATGTGCTTCATGAATAACTGAGCCCAGGAGAGGGGGTGTAGTTCTTCTTGGCTGCCTGTTACTCCAACAAGCAGCTCCCATTGGCTGGTTTCTTCCAGAAACCAACCAATGGGAATGTGCTGGGGGTGGGACAGCTCCTAAACCTCCCCCCCCTCCAGTTTTCTGGGGCTCCCCACTGCCCCACAGGCCAGGCTGCACTAGACGGTTTCATTGCTGGGGCGGGCGGAAGGGAAGATAACACATTCCAAGGTCAAACCCTGCCCCATCGTCCCCACTGGCACTTTCAGAGACGCTGCCCCAGCCGGATGCAGAAAGCGCCATCGAGAGCCCACCGGCCCCAAGCTCCGTGGTGTTGCACCGGGCGACTCCGCCGCCTCCAGGCCAGGAGCCTGAGTTTCAATCTCTCCGGATCCCGCAAGACCTTCCTGCACCCGACTGAAGAGCCCGCGGTTAATGTCTGCTCCCGCCGAGATCTATGGCCATGACCGGGTCCCCCCGCCCTGTGCCTTGCTGAGGGACTAGCTGGGAGCTGCTGGAGTTTATAAGGCGGGTTTCTGACCCTTTAGCCCCACTGGGGGCTCTGCTCAGAGCCCTCTCCAAGGCTGGGCACAGGATCCCACCAGTGACAAACCAGGGCTGAGCCCTGCCACAGGGAGCTGGGGGAAGTGGGGCCAGCAGGGGGGTGAGGCATGTAGCTTGGCTTTGTGGGGGCCTGGGCCATCGCCTGGGCCCTCCTTAGCGCCAGCCCTGCAGTTACAACCCTCCCCTGCTCGGGAAGCAACTGCTTTGGGGATGGACGGGGCAGCCTGCTGCAGAAGAGGCAGGGAGCAGACACGACATGTCATGGCCTCCCTCTGGCCCCGGAGCGTCTGACATCAGCAGCACACGGCTGGTACTTACAGAGCGAGGCCTGAACCCCGCCGCCCTGCCAGGCGCCGTCTTTGCCGCGTCTGCTGCAGAACTGGGACTCGGGGGAGTGAGATGTGGACGCAGGGCGTTGGGGGGAGCGGCCCGTGGACACCAAGCGCGTGCCCGGCTGCTAGGACGATGGACACACTGCTCACCTCCAAAAGGGCGCTTTTTAATAATGCGTTCTCTTAAAAACGGACAGCGCCGCCTCAGAGCGGGTTTGCCGAAGCCTCAGAAGCCAGAGCGGGAGGAGGGGGAATTGAGAACTCAAGCAAAGACGTCTGACCTGTATGCTCACCCTCGCTCCCAGCAGCGGGCTCCACCGACCCCGACCTCCACATGGCTCCGACGGGCAGGCAGGTTGGAAGTTCTGTTCCTGTGCTTCAGCCCAGCCCTTGCTAGCTGGGGAGCAACGCACACGCTCCAGCTCCAGCGGAGACCCTGACAGGGCCACCGGCTGCAGGCAATGACTGCACCCAAGACCTGGCGGACACCCCAGCCAGACCTGGCCCAGCGCCAGTGCCGCAGGGACCGGCAGGCTCCAGGAAGACGCCAGCTGCTGCCACTTCTGCCCCTGGTGCAATTTGCGGGTTGAAGGCATCAGCCCAGCTGCCATGGAAACTGGATTTCTGAGCTGAACTCCAACGCAGACCCCAGCCAGGGAGCAACCATGCGAGCGCCCCCACCCCAGGTGCCTGGCCCGGGCCCTTTGGGGTAGTCATGCTCCTGGGCTGGTGCGGAGGGTGTGCCAGCCGGGCAACTGGCCTGCAGGCCTCACTCGCCTCTCACAGGCCCAGGCAGATGGAATCAGTTTCCATCCCCCCGGGCCTGGCGAAACCGGAGGCTCCAGCATCCCCATTGCGGAAACACGGCAAAGGGACAGAGAAAGCTGCCGCAGGGAGAGTAAAACCCTGGTCAGGCTGACGGGAAGGCTGGGGCCGTGGCCTGGGCGCTGGACGGGGACAGAGCAGAGCTGCCCCGTCTCCTCCAGCGCCAGGCGGGGCGTCAGCCTCTGCCCCTCCCTGCGAGACGGCTGGCGCCGAGGCTGCGGAGCTGGACCCCAGGAGGAGGCAGCCCCCACCCCCCTGGAAGATGGTTTAAAGCCCAAGGCGGCTGGGGGTGTTACAGCGGGAGCAGGAGGAAAAGCTCCGGTGAGGGATGCTGGGAGATGGGCTGGTAAACGCTTGGTATCCGCTTCCGGAGGGCGCGAGCCAGCAGGCCCTCCAGCGGCCCAAGGGGGGGTCACCTCCCACCACCCCTCGCTTCACGCTGAAGGCTCCCTGGCGGCTCCCCTGCCCGTCCCCTCTGCCCGCCAGGCCAGCTGACAAGGGAGATCCCTGCCTGTATTGCCCCAGCCTAGCTCAGCGGCTCCAGAAGTGACATCAACTGCAACCCAAGTGGCATGGCAGGGCTGAGTGGCCGGCGGCCCAGGGTCCCAGGGGGCCGTGCTGCTGCTGAGAGACACCCACGTCCAGAAGGGTTAAATCCCGAACCATGGGCCCCTCCCTGAACACTAGTCAATGTGGGCAGAGCCTCCTGCTCCCAGCCGGCTGCCACCGGGGTAAACCCCCCCCCATGGGCCCCTCCCTGAACACTAGTCAATGTGGGCAGAGCCTCCTGCTCCCAGCCGGCTGCCACCGGGCACCTGAGGCTCCGCTTTGCTTGTCAACAAGTCTCATGACCAGCTCCCACTTGGCCACCAGCCCCCCTGGGCATCTCCCACGGCAAGAGGCAAATTGCGGGGCACAGACCTGGGACATCCAGGCAGCAGGGCCCCCCCGCCCCAATGCATGCGCTGGAGACACTGGGGCAAACCCCTCCCCAAAGAGCCAGGGCCTGGTCTTACAAGCTGCTGCGTGGCGTCTTCCACCGGGAGCCCAGCACGGTGCAGGCTGGGCCCCTAAGGAGCCCAGCCACCGGGCCTGGCGCTCTCCTCTCCCAGGAGGCATTGCGGGTGAGCTGGAACACAACGCCCGAGCCACTCGGCAGCGTGCTGGGGCCTGGGGCACATCTGAGGTCCCTGGGGGAGGGTGGGATGACGCCAAAGGGGGGTCACTGTGCTCAGTGACTTGTAACCAGCAGATTTTGGGGTGCAGCCTGCAGTGCTGAGTAAGCCCAAGAGCCAGAAACAAACCCCCCAGGGGAGGGGACGCGGTGCAGGAGCCGTTCCCCCGCGGATCCCGTGGCCTCTTGCCGCTCTGACCTCCCGCGCTTGAGAGCTTCCGCCCCCAAGAAAAGCAGGCCGGGCTGTGGAGAGGCCCCCGGCCTAGTGTTCAGTGCACGGTCGTGGCTCCGGAGGGGAGCAGGGCAAAAGGATTCTGCGTCAGTTTCATCACTCGTCAGCTCGTCTAAAATCCCCGCAGAAGGAAAATGCAAAGCGCCCGCGTCGGGATCATCGTCCTCCTCCCGCGCTTGAGAGCTTCCGCCCCCAAGAAAAGCAGGCCGGGCTGTGGAGAGGCCCCCGGCCTAGTGTTCAGTGCACGGTCGTGGCTCCGGAGGGGAGCAGGGCAAAAGGATTCTGCGTCAGTTTCATCACTCGTCAGCTCGTCTAAAATCCCCGCAGAAGGAAAATGCAAAGCGCCCGCGTCGGGATCATCGTCCTCACGGCACGTCCCGGCCCTCTGCGGAGTGGAGGGAGAGCAGGGAGCCGCCTTTCAAAATCCGGCCTAGTGTTCAGTGCACGGTCGTGGCTCCGGAGGGGAGCAGGGCAAAAGGATTCTGCGTCAGTTTCATCACTCGTCAGCTCGTCTAAAATCCCCGCAGAAGGAAAATGCAAAGCGCCCGCGTCGGGATCATCGTCCTCACGGCACGTCCCGGCCCTCTGCGGAGTGGAGGGAGAGCAGGGAGCCGCCTTTCAAAATCGGCCTCAGTCAGCTGGTTGGAAGCACACCCGCCCACCCCACCCCCGGCGTCCCTGGCCGGAGCAGCCGCCAGATCAGCCCCCAGGGCCGCGAGTCCCAGAAGCCGCCTGCCCCCACAAGAGATTCTACAAAGAAAAATAAAAAGGTGCCCAAGAGCATATAGAGCCAGGGTCCCCCGGGCGCGGGCGCTCCGGTTCCAGGGCCCAGTTCGACTCTCGCCCGGATCCTCGCCCACCCCCCTCGCCCAAGCCAGGGACAGGGACAGTCTCTTCCAAGTCTGCCCCAAGCGTCAGTACTTCACTCCCGGAACAAACTCCTTGGCGTCGGGGTTCAAGTTGCTTTTGCTCTGAAAGAGAGAAAGGGAGAGGGGTCAGTCCCCCCTTCAGCGCATGGGCAGGCAGGGGCGCTGCCCCCCACACCGAAGGACGACCAGACAACCCCACTGGAGGCGTGAGGGTGGACCCGCTCAGACACGGGGCCAAGGGCCATGGGACAGCAGTCGCCCAGTGCTGATCAAAGGGGGAAGAGGTGCTTGGGCTAACCCCAGCAATGCCCAACCAGCCTCCTGCGGAGCCAGGGGGAAGCCCTGGGGAGTGTAAGCTGGGCCCTGGCCAGCCGGCCCTTCCCGGAGGCACTGGGGTCTCTCACTGGGCAGCGCACGTGAACCCCTAGTCCAAGGGCAGAGTGAACCCCACCAGCGAGACGTGCCCTGCCCGGCGCACCCCCCCTTCCAGGACAGGGCCCTGCTGCAGGCGGGGAGTCTCAGGGGAGCAAGCCAGCACCCGCCTCCCCCCGGCCTTTACCAAGATGTCCTCCGAGCTGCAGCCGTCGCCCACTGAGAGTCCGTTCAGCTGCTGCTGCAGCTGCCCGAGGCCCTGGGGCAGGTCGCGGGACGGAATGAACCAGTCCTGGTCTTCCTCATCCAGCATCTCCTGGAAACAGCGGTCCAGGAAGTCCTGCTCCTGCAGCTCCTCCTCCACCTGGCCGGGAAGGGGAAGAGCCGTCAGGGCCGCGAGGCAGCGCACACAGGCCGTGCCTCCAGGGCCACCGCGCCCCGGCCTGGGAGCCCGCGAACAAAGGCGCCTGTCCCGTGCCCAGCAGAAATGCCGCGGGGGTCACTTACAGAATGCTGGGCGAAGACCTGGCCATGCCCAAGGCAGGGTCCAAGCACCTTTGAAAATAACACAGTGGCTGGGG